CAGCCCAAGCTTGGCCCAAACTGGGAAGCTCAGATAAGTGCAGACCCTTCTTCAACTTGGTGAAAAGAGCCACAGACTTTCTGTGGACAGAAGAATGCGAAACCGCTCTAGCCGACCTAAAGAAGTACTTGACCACAACTCCGGTTCTTTCCAATCCAGAACCAGGGGAAGAACTGTTTTTGTACTTGGCAGTTTCAGAACACGCAGTAAGTGCAGTACTAATCCGAGAAGAAAAAGGGGAGCAAAAGGCGGTTTACTATGTAAGCAAAACCTTGGCCAGCGCAGAAACAAGGTATCTACCACTGGAGAAATTAATGCTGGCCTTAGTAATGGCTTCAAAGAAGTTGAACCATTATTTTCAGGCGCACAAGATTGTGGTCCTAATAGAGCACCCACTGAAGTCCTTGTTGCAACAAGGAGACTTAACAGGAAGGATAGTAAGATGGGCAGTGGCCCTGGGTCAGTATGACCTGGAGTTCAGGCCGAGAACAGCAATAAAGGGCCAAGTTTTGGCCGACTTCGTGGCAGAATTCACACCGGAAACCATCGAACATCGAGCTTCGTTGAGCCGAGATGAGCAGTATCCCAGCAAGCAAGGAGAAGCCCAGCCAAAGGAAAAAGAGCAAAGGAAGGAAAAACTCAGACCCTGCAGCATCTACATCGGCGATTCATTCAGACTGTTCGTCGATGGAAGTTCAAACCGTCAAGGAGCGGGGGCAGGAGTACTGCTGATATCTCCAGATGGAGAAATAATAGAACAGTCCATCCGTTTGGGGTTCAAGGCCTCAAACAACGAAGCGGAGTACGAAGCATTAATTGTAGGGCTACAACTAGCAGCAGCAGCAGAAGCAGATGAGGTAATTATTTTTTGTGATTCACAACTTATTGTTAACCAGTCAACAGGAGAATTTGCAGCCAGGGACGAAAGGATGTCAGCATATGCAAAAGAGGTCATCAAATTGTCAGCCCTATTTCAGAACTGCCAACTACTGCAAGTCAGCCGAGATGACAACACCCACGCCGACGCGTTGGCTTACCTGGCAGGTTCAATACAGACTGGAAAAACAAGAACAATTATGATCGACTATATGTCGGGCTCGAGCATAGAACCAGGGAGCACAAAGCAGCAAGCAATGTGTGTGGACATGGGGCCAAGCTGGATGGATGCAATTATTGCATTCCTGAAAGAAGGAAAGTTGCCAGAAGATCGTAAGGAGACACACAAAGTCAGATTGAAATCTGCAAGATTCTGTCTAACAGAAGATAGACATCTTTACAGAAGATCCTTCACTGGACCCGTTTTAAGGTGCGTACACCCTTTGCAGGTTGAAGATTTCCTATATGAAATTCATGAAGGAATTTGTGGAAGCCATGCTGGGGGCAGATCATTAGCCCACAGGGCCATTACCCAGGGGTATTGGTGGCCCTACATGCAAAAAGATGCCGAAGCCTACGTGAAGAAGTGTGAACAATGCCAAAGGTTTGCACCTTTAATACATCAGCCAGCTCCTGACCTGAACCCTGTATCCAGCCCTTGGCCGTTTGCCCAATGGGGCATGGATCTTATCGGGCAACTTCCCCAGGCAACTGGACAGAGAAAATACTTGCTGGTGGCAACAGATTACTTTACCAAATGGATAGAGGCAGAACCTCTTGCCAAAATCTGAGATGTGGACATCAAGAACTTTATATGGAAAAACATCATCACCAGATTTGGGATTCCAAGAGCAATAGTTGCCGACAACGGAACACAGTTTGACAGCAAACTCATCAAGAACTTTTGTGCAAAATTCAAGATCAAAAATTACTTTTCAACACCAAGTTTTCCCCAAAGTAATGGGCAAGCAGAAGCATCCAACAAAGTAATTCTGGATGGAATAAAGAAGAGGCTGCAGACAGCAAAAGGAAAGTGGGTAGACGAATTGCCCAACGTTCTTTGGACATATCGGACTACGCCGAGAAGATCAACTGGGGAATCCCTCTTTACCATGGCTTATGGCACAGAAGCTGTCATCCCATTGGAGATTGGCATCCCAGGAATCAGGACCTAGGGAGTAGAGAATGGCACTAACGACATCCTCTTAGCCCGAGATCTGGACCTTTTAGAAGAACGAAGAGAAAAGGCTGCAATTCAGCTAGCAGTATACCAGCAACAACTTGCTAGAGCTTACAACAAAAAGGTCAATCCAAGAGATTTTCAAGCCGGCGACCTAGTCTTGAGAAAAGTCGTCGGCAACAAAAAGGATCCCAGAGAGGGCAAGCTTGGCCCAAACTGGGAAGGATCCTACAGAATTACTTCGGTATTAGGCAATGGAGCCTATCGGCTTGAAGATAACGAGGGCAAAGCACTGCCAAGACCTTGGAACACTTGTAATTTAAAATTCTTCTATCATTAGATGTGCAGTATTTTTTGCCGATGTCTTTAATAAAGTTCTTTCAACAACATATGACTGATAAAATTACATACTGATGTTTTTGGAGACATGAATAATGAGAACCCAAGTAGAACTCAGGTTCACATTGGGGGCAGGAAGAAGAAAGATGCGTTTACTACTTGTTGAAATGTGTAGCAATTTACAAGTTGGTTAAACCAAGATAATATTTAACACTGAAATTAGACCGAGATGATGCTTAACCGAAGTTAAGCCGAGATAATTCCTTAATTCACTTGTTGAAATTTGTAGCAATTTACAAGTTGGAATTAAGCTGATTCCTTGTCTTCACTTGTTGGAATTTGTAGCAATCTACAAGTTGGAGTCAAGCTGATTCCTTGTCTTCACTTGTTGAAATTTGTAGCAATTTACAAGTTGGAGTCAAGCTGATTCCTTAATTCACTTGTTGAAATTTATAGCAATTTACAAGTTGGAATTAAGCTGATTCCTTGTCTTCAGTTATTGAAATTTGTAGCAATTTACAAGTTGGAGACAAGCTGATTCCTTGCCCTCACTTGTTGAAATTTGTAGAAATTTACAAGTTGGATTCAAGCTAATTCCTTAATTCACTTGTTGAAATTTGTAGCAATTTACAAGTTGAAATTAAGCTGATTCATTATCTTCACTTGTTGAAATTTGTAGCAATTTACAAGTCAAAGTGAAGCTGAGGTTATAGTTTGCAGCTTATAGCAATCTACAGATTGATCCAACCAAAGAAGATGCTTAACACTTGTTGAAATTTGTAGCAATTTACAAGATAATGTTAAGCTGACATGTGGTCATCCGTCGAAATTTACAGCAATTTGCAGGTTGAAGTAAAAGCTAAGTATATTGTTCAAACACTTGTTGAAATTTGCAGCAATTTACAAGTAGATCATTATTTAACACTTGTTATAACTTGAGAACAGTTTACAGTATATGTTAACACTTGTTGAAATTTGTAGCAATTTACAAGTAGGTTAGACCGAGATCATTATTTATATATTTGTTGAAACTTGAGAAGAAACTTGTAGAGTTAATATTGAATAGTATATGTTAAACACTTGTTGGAATTTATCAAGAGTTTTCAGGTCTGTATCTTGCCAAAGTAAAGTTTGATGTTGTTGTACCCGAGGCATGTAACCCCGAGGAGATTACACAAAGGTGGCAAGAAAATAAAAGGCGTACAACCATGCAGAAACAAATCAAAGAGAAGTTAAAAGATTGAAGCATCCATAGAAAAACAATTGCAGCTATATACAAAGGAAGGCACATCGGCCATAAAAGAAAGTTTACACCGTTCAGAAAACAAAACAGAGTATAAAAAAGGCAAGGAAATAAAGACATTCAAATCAGGATTCTTCAGCATTAATAGCTGGAGGCGCTGGGACCTTGGAAGATTCTGGTGGAACCTCCTCGGCAATCTTTTCTGCCTCAAGCTCGGCATCAATCTCTGCAAGCGTTTTGTCAAGACTCCTTTCAGCTAAAAGGAGGTCAGATGATAATATCCCTGTAACAACTTCCCTAGGCGCCTCCTCAACCTCATCACCCTCTTCATCCAAAGTTAAGTCCATGACTTGCTCAGTTGAAGGAGGGGACTTGGCCTCAGTAGCATCCTTAGATTTCCTCACCAAGGCCTCATCTTCATTGTTATCTTCATCCTCAGCCTCAGAATCTGACTCATCTTCAGCTTGACTTGAAGATGGAGCAGGAGGAGGGAATGGGAGAGGAATAGCTTCAGCCTTGCGCAAAGGAGAATCTTCAGGAACATTAAGCTTTTTTGCCAGGGACATCCAACCAAGGGAAAAGCCCATGTTGCATGCCTGCCTAACTTGCAGTTTGTAGTCCTCAGCAACATCGGCCATTCCTTGGGCGTAAGCTTTTTCATCGGCTTCAGTAATTTCGGCGTTTTTAGTGGCCAGGGCCTCCTCGAGCTCTTTTTCCGCTTGAGCCTTTTTTACCTCGGCATCTTTCTTCTCGGCCTCGGCAACTTTTTTGATGGCTTCAGCAGACTCCACTTTTTCTTCGACCATCTGTTGGGCCTTAGTGGCAGCCTCGGCCTGATCTTCCAGCTTCTTCATCTTTGTCAGAATAGCTCTGTTCTCCTTTTTGAGGGCAGAAACTTCCCTCTTCATGTCGGCCAATCTTTGCCGATTTTCAAAAGATTGCATTGAAAACGAATGGGCGTGCTGGATGGCCTGAAAGAAAACAGAAGTGTTAGAAAATCTTCTAAGTATGAAGCAGAAAGAAAAGTCAAATCAGGAAACACTTACTTGAACGGAGTGCCGGAGCATTAACACATAGTTCTCATACTCGCTGTACCCAGCATTTCGCTCCAGATCGCTTGGAAGAAGAAGAGCAGTACTGAGGGCGACACCGACATTAATATCGTCGGCACTCTCAGTTGACATAATTGGCCTATCCTCCAAAGTCAACTTTGGGGCCTAGGGGACATCGGGTTTCTTGGACCCCGAAGTAGTAGCTGAGGCAGACCTCGGCTTCTAGACTCGGAGGGCTGGGTCTCGGCCAACCTCTTTGAAGGAGCAGAAGAAGTCTTCTTACTCTCAGCCAGTTTTGAGATAGGCAAAGTATCCTCAGCCTTAACCTCAATAGCCTTGGCCTTAGGTTAGGCCTTCTTGATTCTTCTTGGCTTCGGTGGGGGCATTGGTTGGGTTGGTACAACATCAGCATCAGTCGGGAGGTCGGCTAGGAGATTTTGGGCAATTGGCTTTGCGCGACCCATTTCGGCAGTTTTGACAAGGCGTCGTCGACGTTTTCTTTCTGGTATTGGGATCAAGTATGGGGCCGAAGTGGATGGTTGATTGGTTGGGTTAGATGTGGACTCTTGATCTGTTCGGGATGAAGAAGCGGTTATAGTTGTGGCAGTAGGTGGAGAGAGGCTCTTCTTCTTTTTCTTCAGGACGTCGGGCAATGTGGATTTGTATGTCGGAATAAAGTTTAGTAATAATGGAGCTTTGCGCTTGTGGATTGGAAGATCAAGGAGCTTCTTTAAATCTTTTCCTGGGAAGTACGATTGGCGAAAGTTTTTTGGTGGCTGATGAAGGTCTGCAGGACAAACAAACAGACATTAGAAACAAACAAAGTTTTAAAGACTTAGAAATAACTAAGTATTGATGCTGGGCTCTTACCCTTGCCCTCTTTAACTATTCGAGGAAGAGGGTAGAGGTGAACATCTTCGTCTGGACCAAATTCCCAATTTCCCGAAGCAATGACAAAGTCATCCCCGGCTCCCTTGTTGGAGTCCGGGAGGTCGGCTACAATTTTGAATTCAGTAGACCTCGGCTTGAGGTAGTAGACGTAACCTATTTCCTTCAGGTTAAGGGGGCACATGGTATAACAATATTGTACATCGGTAAGGGTGATCCTAACATTTTCCTGCTTAGTTAGGGCTATGATACCATTAATCACTCGATAGGAGTTGATGGTAAGTTGCATGGGGTTCAACTTATAGAAGTGGAGAACCTCACGAAAAAGGGGATTGAGTGGAAGCCGGAGTCCGCACTCAGTAAAAGCTACTATAGGAAAGGGCATTGAATTATCCGTGGGCATGATAGAGTCATTATCTTCAGCCAACCTCAGGTGGACATCGACAGGAATGGAAAATTCTTGCCTAAAAAATTCAAGTTTAGTTGGGGTGTTTACCCGGTGTCTCCTCATACCCATTACGTCGGCCTAAACAAAGAAGGCTGTGTCTCAAAAGATAGGTGTTTGAGAAGGGTTGCTAGAACCTCGGTTTCAAATCTGGGTAAGGACTGGTAAGGTTTGTTTCAGTTTTTTCTAAAGATTGAAGGTTCTACAGACAAATCCCAAACCTAAAACTATAGAGACGAAGATCGAGGGCACAGATCTGGTAAAGACACAAAAAAACAGAGAACAAAAGCGAAGTTTCAGAAATAAGAACAGGGATGGGCTATCAAGAACACGAAGAATAGAAAGGGTTAAGGGCCAAGAACAGTGGTGAAACAGTGCAAAGTGTTCATGGCATGTGAAAAATCATGAAATAAGACGCATTCAGGTAAATGATTCACAAATAATGCCTAAGAAGAACAGTAATAGCAAGAAACTTCAGAAACAATCAAGAATTAGAAAAAGAGGGTATGGGGGTCAGTTGCTTACCGGATAAAATAAAGTCGGAGCGATATTCGCCGAGATCAGACGACAGTTGTTACAGTGGCAAAAGCTTCGCGGGAATGGATGAATAAAGACGGTCGCAGAATTTGGGGCTTAGAGCAATGGCAGATTCGAAGAATGCTAGAGCTTTTAGAGAGAGAAAAAGTAAGAAATCAAAATGCAAAAAGTGGAGAAAGGAAGAGGGAAAGAAAAGTTTTATCAAAAAACTTAAAACGGCGGCAAAAGCAGGGCATTTATTACGCCTGGAGCAACGCACACGTCAGACGGCGCAGATGAGTGAAAGACAGCTTTCAGGCGCGTCACAGACACGGGCCAATGAAGACAAAGCACGTGAAAGGAACGGTTAGATGTGCATGACAGCTCATGCGCGTGGTGGAGTTCATTTGAATTCTTGTTCTCCGAAGAGAACACATCGGCTTGAAAATGAATTATCTCGGCCAAACAGTTTTTGAGCCACTATGCAGAAAAAAATATCGATATAGGTTCCATCACCTCAGAATGTGTATGTGTAGACACCCCATTTTTGACCGTCCTCAAGACTTGGACGTCACCGTTTGAACACTCGGTGATTATCCATGTTTGTGTTCGTTTGGAGTTCCCGGAGGTCTCGGCTACGCTCCCTACCTCAGGATCTCCGAACTTGACCGTTTTGTGTCTGGTTTTGCACCAAACACTTGTGTCTTGCCTTGGAGGAGCAGGGCATGCCTTGTGAGGCATCCCCACACACCACCGGCAGTGGCTAGAGGCCACCGGCTGGTTTTTGCTGCCATCGGCACTATTTGTTGCCGGTCAGCACTTTTTATTGCCGGTCGGTACTATTTGTTGCCGGTCGGCACTAAATTTTGTCAAAATGGCATCTTTGGCCGGCCGACTACTGTGCATCTGCTTTTGCAGATATTTTAAGACAGTTGTCTTGCTTTTGGCTCCCCTCCATACACGTGTATAGAGGGATCTCCCTCTTTAGAAGCTTGTCTTGTAAGCTTTACAAGACAATAAGCTCTATAAGAGAGAGCCTTGTCTCTTGGCTTTAGGGTTAGACACTTGAGAGACTTGAGAGAGTTTTAGACAGCCATTTTTAGGGTTTTGAGTTCTAGGGTTAGAAACCTTACACTTTCTATCTCTATTTCTCCCTCTTGTGTGTGTTAAAGTGCATTTGTGTCTTACTATTGCACACAAACACATAGTGTTTCACCTTCACTTAGCTACTGAGGTTCTAAGAGGTTGGTTTTGAAGTTTTGGAGCTGTTTTCAACCTAGAAGGAGCTGTTGGAGCACCATTTGTGAAGAGGTCTTCAAGGGTAAGAATCTTACCCCTTTATTCCCCATTTTTGCATCTTGTTTTTGCCTATCTTAAAATCGTTTTTGAGCTTGGTGTATAATACAAAAAAGTTCTGTTTTTAGGCCCTCTAAATTGTTCATTTAGAGTGTTTTGTTGTTTGGAGGTGTTTGATCCCTCTTAGGCCTTGAAAGGTCCCATTTTGAGCCATTTTGTGCAAGTTTCGAGACTTTGGTGTTTGGGCCTCTTCACCACTGAAATCTTGAGGGATTTCAGTGGTGGAGATGGTGCCTTGAAGTCTCCAAAAGGGGAGGGCCACCCCCTCTCCTTGTTGTCCTTGAAAGGGACCCTTTTTGGCCTCTTGAGAGAGCACCATGTTAGAATGTGTATTGATCATATCTTGGTTGTTTTCCATGTTTATTATGCCATGATATAACCTTGTTGTGTGTTGGTTTTGGTACACCATGCATGCTTAGCATACCTACCATGTAATGCCTTGTTATTGCCTTAATATGCCTTAGGTTGTTAGCCCTTGTTCAAGCATGTTTTAGGCTTAGTCTTGTGAAGCTTTTGTGCATATTTTGCCATGTTTGTTTGGGTCGGATTTGGCATGCTTAGTATAGCCCCTTTGCATTCCGGCTTGTTGGCCTTAAGTATGTGAATGTATAGCATGACATTTTTGCATTGATTTGGTGATTTGGAACCATCCACCATGTCATTTCAGTCCCCTTTGCATGCCTATATGTTTGCCTTGGATGCCTCTTTGATGCTTTGAAAGCTTGTGTAGTATGCTCCATGTTTTGGCCATTGCACATGCCTTTGAATTTGAGCCACTTAGATGCCATCTAGGGGGCTCCCTTTGCATGGTCTAGGTCTGTCTTGAACCTATTTTAAGTCCTCTTAGCCTTGTGAGGCTTAGCCATGGTTCAAGTCCCCTTGACTTGTTTCAAATACTTGGACCATTTGCATGCTAATGTTTAGCCTATCTTGTTGCTTGGTTTGACACCATCTTAACATGATTTTCAATGCTTGCTTTGCATGCCATTAGTCCACATTATGCCTCTTTCAATTGTGTTTGAGAGTTGCCTCATTTGTGCCTAAGTGTTGGCCCTTTAACATGTGCATGTGTGTATGTGTTTTGGTCCTTTATTTTAGCACTTTGGCCCTTGTTTTAGGCCTAATTAGAGCTGCCTAAATCATATGTAAGTCCACCATTTTTTCATCAATTTGCATTGCCTCATGTTTGCTTGAATGCTTGCATAAGTATCTTGCCATGACATGTTGCATCCTTAGCTTGCATGCCTAGGTTGCATTGCATCTTGCATGCATGTCTTATTCCTTGACTTGGTGATAGGAATTGGGCCTTAGTTTGTTTATTTGGTTTACATTTCATTTGACATGAAAGTTGTACACTTGACTCCTTAGGCCATCATGCATGGAAATGCGTGATTGGTGGTCCGAGAATCGAGACACATGCCCTTTTGAGTCATTACCGTGATAAGGGGCATGATTGGTGCATATATGCCTTGAATTGTGCTGCCATGCTTTGCCTTGCCCTCTGTTGCTGTCAATTGCAGATTCTGCAGGAACACTCTGCCGACCGGCAATTTCTAGTGCCGACCGGCAATCGTTTCCCTGCCGATGGATTCATTTTGTGCCGGTGGCCACATGCTACTACCGGTGGCAATCCCGTTCAGCTGGTGGTGTT